GAACTCTCTTGCTTTTTTGATGATCTAGCAGATGTTGGCAACTTCATCTCTGGTTCCTCTGCCTTTTCTAAATCCAGCTTGAACATCTGGAAGTTCATGGTTCATGTACTGTCGAAGCCTGGATTGGATAATTTTGAGCATTACTTTGCTAGTATGTGATGTGAGTGGAATTGTGCAGGAGTTTGAACATTCTTTGGCATTGCCTTTCTTAGGAACTGGAATGAAAACTGATCTTTTCCAGTCCTGTGGCCACTGCTGAGTTTTCCAAATTTGCTGGCATATTGAGAGCAGCACTTCCACAGCATCATCTTTTAGGATTTGAAATAGCTCAACTGGAATTCCATCACCTCCACTAGCTTTGTTTGTAGTGATGCAACTTGACTTCACACTCCAGGATGTTTAACTCTAGGTGAGTAATCACACCACCTATAATAAAGTGGGCTAAATGCTAAAAAGTAGAAAAAGCTGGTGCCAAGAGTATTATAAAGGGGCCCAATTTATTCTGGTGGAGTTATTGCCTAAGGGGGAGAAATTGAGTTGAAATATAAAAGTTGAATACATGCATCCAACCTGGGCTGGTGATCTGTTGATGGGGAACCCATGTAAATCCATGGCTGAATCATGTCAATGTATGGCAAAAACCACTACAATATTGTGAAGTAATTAGCCTCCAACTAATACAAATAAATGGAAGGCAAAAAAGTTGAATACAAATGAATAAAGCAGGGAAGTGGGCAGGATGGGAAGGAAAGAAAGAGTAAGGAAAGAAGAGGCAGGAGATAGGAAGGAATAAAGGAAGATGGTGGGAAATGGCTTTCCAGGCAGAACCAATAGCATATGCAAAGATTCTGAATTCAGGAAATTACATATTATGTTTGAGAAAGTGAAAAATGACTAGTAAGTTCCATGGAGCATGGAAAACTTTCAGAAAAGGAAGATTGGGACCAGTTAATATGTGGGATTTTATCACGAGAGTAATGGAAAATTACTGAAAAGTTTTAGAGAAACAATTGATAAGATTAAATTTGCACTGTTAACTGCCTTATAGATGGACCTTGTAAACAGACTCTGCCATCCATCAAAACAGTAACATAAAGGCTAATTCCATTCTTGATGAAGAACTCAAAAGTAATTATTAAAATGACTAAAAATTTATCTTAAAGTTGGAATACACAGAAATTTTGAATGCATTTAAATGTGTCCTGGCTTCTACAAATAAGCTGATATATACATATATATATGTATATATATATATAATGCACAATAATCAAGTTATTATTAAATTATGTTGAAGAATACATTTCAAAAGGTAAAATGATGACTCTCATATAAATATAAAATGAACACATCATAGATTTAACTCCTTGTCAAATGAAATTAGTGAGATGCTACAACCAGTTTCAAAGGAAAATTCAAAAAGCAATACATATGTAGGAAAATATGATATGCTGAAAAAATGTATAAATAGATGCACAATGAGTCTGCTCACAAGCAGTAATCAATTCCACTCCACCTGGAACAGTTGATTTGCATTTCTATGAGGAAGAATCTTTGCATTGTTATGTACTCATAACTTGTAGGGCATCAAGAGAGTGCTGAAATGATGAAAGAGTGAGGAAAAAAAATAGAACACATTTTGGATCAATTTCAAGTCTTTGAGAATTTTTCTTACCCATATATGAATATAAATTTTATATAATAATGGTGCTCTAATGCTGGTCAAAAAAAGTACTGCTCTGTCCTGTAATGGATTTGACCTAAAATCAATGCTCTTATTTTTAGCAAAGCTCTATGGGCTTCTGGAACACTTCTACTTCATTATTGATATAGGTCAGCTTTAGAATCTAGGAATCCAGATAAATTTCAGTTATGTGAGGCTCTGAGCAGAGAATCCAGTCCCAAAATGCAGGATTCCTGACCTATGGAAACTGTGAGATACTAAATTCATATTGTTTTAAGTCATTAAAGTTGTGAAATTTTTACACAGACTATATACAGTATGAGTCCATCTATATGGAGCTCAAAACTAGGCAAAACTGAACTATGGTTTAAATAATAAAATACAGCTATCTCTGGGAAGTAAGGAGGGTAATAATTGGGTGGGTCTGTGTGGACTTCTTGGAGAAGAAAATGGCAACCCACTCAAGTACTCTTGCCTGGAAAATCCTGTGGACGGAGGAGCCTTGGAGGCTGCAGTCCATGGGGTCGCAAAGAGTCGGACACGACTGAGCGTCTTCACTTTCACTTTCACTTTGTGTGGACTGCTGGAATCTGATGATGCTTATTTCTTGATCTGGAGAGGTGAGCTTACTTGGTAGAAATTCATTAAGCTGTACACTGGGAAAAGTACTTTGCATACTTTTGTTAGCCATTCCCTTCTCTAGGGGATCTTCCCAATCCAGGAGTTGAACCCAGGTCCCTTGCATTGCAGGCAGATTCTTTACCATCTGAGCTACCAGGGAGGCCATCTGCATGTATATTTCAATTAAATATTACTGAATAAAGATGTGATTTAGCTTTTCTATGAGTTTATATTTCTTTATGTTTCTTATTGTAGTGCCAAAAAAAAAAAAAAAAAAAAACCCCAAACCTGGTAATATTAACATATGTTAAGCCCTTAAAATGCACGAGGCATGTTTCTAAGGGCTTCATATGAATTTATGTTTTTTATGCTTTTGTATTTTAATTTTGGTTTTGGCACTTTTTAAATACAGAAATTTGTTACTCTGATATAGTCAGATGTAAAAATATTCATGCTTTGAGATACACAGTTGACCCTTGAATAACATGGATTTAAACTGTGCAGGCCCATTTATACAGGGCTTTTTTTTTCCCCCCAATATAGTATTTTCATTTTACAGATACTTAAATTAAGTATGGGGGAAAGTATTCCATTAAGGAACACAATATGAGAAATAAAAAGAACTAGGGTCTGGGTCCTGATTCTATCTAAACTGTTTCAATTTTCTGCCTTTGGGTAAGTCTTATAACAATTCCTTTGTTTTTGAGGCAGAGACAGTGATACTTAGACTTGGGCTGTGGAGACTGAGGGGTGAAGGGCAGTAGGTACTCTTAAACCCCACCTTGTTTGAGGGTCCACTTTACTCAGTTCATGTTTAAGAATCTTTCCCTAACCTGCAATGTTTTTAGAGTTAAATCAACAGAATTGATTAAACTGTATCTAGGGACAAGTGTTTCTAACATATGGTAATTAGTTTAATAATCTCTATTTTTGTTAAAGATAAGATCAAGATCTTTGGAGTATATGAAAGGAAGTTTCCTCTTCCACACAGACACCTATAATTAAAGAATATTTCATTACCTATTTTTCTCATTCATTTTTAATAAGTGACATCACTTCTTAGGCCTAACACATAAAGACTCTATGGTGGAAATCACTGCTGACGAACAGGAAAAAAGAAAAAAAAAAGAGAGAGAGAGAGAGAAAAAAAACAAAACAAATGAGACTGTTTAAGAGAGCTCTGAAGCTAGAATCAAGATTGCTGGGAGAAATATCAATAACCTCAGATATGCAGATGACACCACCCTTATGGCAGAAAGTGAAGAGGAACTAATAAGTCTCTTGATGAAAGTGAAAGAGGAGAGTGAAAAAGTTGGCTTAAAGCTCAACATGCAGAAAACTAAGATCATGGCATCCCGTCCCATCACTTCATGGGAAATAGATGGGGAGACAGTGGAAACAGTGTCAGACTTTATTTTTTGGGGCTCCAGAATCACTGCAGATGGTGACTGCAGCCATGAAATTAAAACACACTTACTCCTTGGAAGGAAAGTTATGACCAACCTAGATAGGATATTAAAAAGCAGAGACATTACTTTGCCAACAAAGGTCCATCTGGTCAAGGCTATGGTTTTTCCAGTGGTCATGTATGGATGTGAGAGTTGGACTGTGAAGAAAGCTGAGCACTGAAGAACTGATGCTTTTGAACTGTGGTGTTGGAGAAGACTCTTGAGAGTCCCTTGGACTGCAAGATGATCCAACCAGTCCATCCTAAAGGAGATCAGTCCTGGCTGTTCATTGGAAGGACTGATGCTGAAGCTGAAACTCCAATACTTTGGCCACCTGATGAGAAGAGCTGACGCATTGGAAAAGACCCTGATGCTGGGAGGGATTGGCGGCAGGAGGAGAAGGGGATGACAGAGGATGAGATGGCTGGATGGCATCATTGACTCAATGGACATGAGTTTGGGTAAACTCCAGGAGTTGGTGATGGACAGGGAGGCCTGGTGAGCTGTGATTCATGGGATTGCAAAGAGTCAGACATGACTGAGTGACTGAACTGAACTGAACTGAGGCAGTTCAGTGAATATAATATTCACATTATAGGAATCCTAGAGAAGAAGAGAGAGAGAAAGAGCCTGAGCAAATATTTAAAGACATAATAGCTGAAAACTTCACTAATCTGGGAAGAGAAAAAGTCACAGAAGTCCATGAACCAATGATTACACACAGAATTAACTCAACAGGAACATGCCAAGACACATTTAAACAAAATGACGAAAGTTAGAGACTATTCAAAGCAGTAAGGGAAAAGTAACATATAACTCACAGTGAAAGTGAAGTCACTCAGTCGTGTCTGACTCTTTGCGACCCCATGGACTGCCAGGCTCCTCAGTCCATGGAATTTTCCAGGCAAGAGTACTGGAATGGATCTTCCTGACCAAGGGATCGAACCCCAGTCTCCCACATTGCAGGTAGATGCTTTACCATCTGAGGCACCAGGGATGGAATTAAGGACCAAGCCTTCTGCCTTATATGTGAACCAATCATGGAACTAAAGTTTGCTTGCTTTGCCTTCCCTTTTTTCCCCTCTAAATGGATATGGATTTCCTCTCAAAATGGGAGAAGGAAACATTTATCCATTTAATTAATCGAAAAAGATGTACTGAACATCCACTAGATGCCCCTGACCCCAGAGAATCCACAGCCCCAAAAGGGGAGAGAGATGGGGAAACACACGTCTTCTGCAGTGTGATAGGATTGGAACAGAGCTTTGCGCAGCGTGCGGTCGTGATGCCAGTGATGGAACTCTGCCCGTGGATTGGGGAGAGCTGCCCAAGGACGTGTGGTCCAGCCCTGAGCGGGAGGTCACGCTGCAGGGCCAGACTGCGATGCAGACGTGGAGATGATGCGTGACGGTACAGGTGGATTTTTGAGTTTAGAATGCAGGAGCTACTGCTGAGATAACATTCCTTCTTTCAGCAAGGATACACAGTAAGCCCTCCTGGGAGAGGCATACAAAGAAATCGGTTTGTTTGAGTTGTGTTTTGTTTCACTTTGATCTATCCTAGTTGTCTGTTTTGGGTTTTTTTTTTTTGGAATCCGCCTAAGCGTTCTACCAACTGATGACAAAAAGCTAAGGCTACAGCTCTCACTTAAATGTAGCATCTCAACACGGAAGTCTCACCTGAATTGTGCCAACAATGATACTATTTCCCCAGATTCAGAAACTAGCCCTATCAATGGAGAAGAACTGACAGCAATTTTTAAAAGGGTGGAGTGTGAGGAAGCAGGACAATGGTCTCCTGCTTCCTAAAGGAGACTGCGCGTTTTATTTCTTCTTCCCCTCCTTCTCAGGTATGATATGCCCTGCTGGCTCAGTGGTAAAGCATCTGCCTGCAATGCAGGAGACCCAGTTTCCATCCCTGGATCAGGAGGATCCCCTGGAGGAGGGCATGGCACCCCACTCCAGTATTCTTGCCTGGAGAATCCCGTGGACAGAGGAGCCTGGCGGGCTACAGTCCATGGGGTCGCAGAGAGTCGGACACGACCGAGCGACTAACCCTTTCTTTCCTTCTCAGGAGTTGTGAACAGGTGCGTGTACAGCACAACCAAGGCAGCCGTGATCGGCCTCACCAAGTCCGTGGCTGCAGACTTCCTCCAGCAGGGCATCCGGTGCAACTGTGTGTGTCCAGGTGAGCTGGGCGCTGTGGGACCGGGAGCCTGTCCTTTCTGACCCCCTGGCTGCCACCCTGAAAGGCGTCTGTGTCGGCTCGTTTACCACTTGCTGCGTTGTCACCGGGCAAAGCTCAAAAGAAAAAGAGCCTGGGCTAATAGAGACACAGATGTAGGGAACAAACATGGACACCACAGGGAAGAGAGCAGAATGGGCCAAGTGGGGAGATTGGGGTTGACGTGTATGTACTACTGTGTATGACACAGATAGCCAACGAGAACCTACCGTATAGCACAGGCAACTCAACTCGTTGCTCTGTGGACACCTGACTGGGAGGGAAGCCCAAACAGGAGGGGATATGTGCACACATGCAGCTGATCCACTCTGCAGCAGAGCAGAAAGAGACAGCGGTGTAAAGCAACTGCACTCCGGCATAAAACCATAACGTTCTTAAACAGAGGAAGAAAAGGAGGCTCGGGTTATTAAGATAATAGCCCCACAGTAAGTTGGCAATAAGATCCTAAGTCATTAGGAAGCAAACTTCAACCAAGTTAATTTGAAAATCTAATTGGCTGTATTCAGTGATTCACAAATCAGGTGGCATCCCGTTTAGCAACTAGATGGATGCTCCAAGGAGTTCTATACAAATGGAAAGTTATTACAGAAAGGAGGATGGGGCAAGGAAGTCATTGGCAAAAGAAAAGGATTTTCTAGCCTGTGTGCGTGTTAAGTTGCTTCAGTCGTGTCCGACTCTTTGGTACCCTAAGTACTGTAAGCCTGCCAGGCTCCTCTGCCCATGGGGATTTCCAGGCAAGAGCATTGGAGTAGGTTGCCATTTCCTCCCCCAGGGGATCTTTCCAGCCCAGGAATTGAATCCATGTCTCTTACATCTCCTGCAATTGGCAGGCGGGTTCTTTACCACTACGCCACCTGGGAAGCCCTGTTCTAGTCTAGGGAGGAGGGGATGGCATGAATTTTATGTTACAGATTGCCTCCTCTTCCTCTGGGGGCATAGAGGGCCCACAAGGCCGATTACCTCACTGGGTGCAGACCAGAAAATTCCAGACTGGTTGGTTAAGATTCCATTTCTGGTAAAGACTGAAACTGCAGTTAGGTTATGCATTAAATACAGGTTTGGTATCATGGGCTTTAGCACAAATGATGCCATTTTGATTTAACAAATGCAAAGTATTTAAATGCTACTTGTGTGGATGGGGGCCATTCTAAACCCTGTGATTAAGAGTCATAACTGGCCCGGGCTTGGTGTTTTGGAAGCAGGCCAGGATGATCTTGTCAGAGGAAAGGTGAAAAGTAGACCGAACTCCCAGGACAGCTGGAAGGAAAAGGAGCCTTGGGACACAGGGAGCCACTGAGTCGAGTCAGTCACCTGGGGGTGGCCCATAAACGAAAAGGAGGGATTAACACCTTCCTTTATGCTATAAAGAGGGGGTCAGCAAACTGCGGTCTGCAGGCCAGGTCTGACTCACCACCTGTTTTGTAAACACAGTTTTATTGGAACACATCCCACCCAGTTTGCTTCTGTACTGGTTAAGTCTGCTTTCATGATGAAGTCAAAGTTGAGTAGTTATAACAGACCAAATGGTTCTCGAAGCTAAAAATACATTCTGTCTCACTTCTGACTAAAAAGTATGCTGGCCCCTCAAGTAAAGGAAAGGAAAACAGGAGAAATTATTATTAGTAGAAAGAACATTTATGTTTATACCATACAGCAGTCTATTAAGCGTGCAATAGCAGTGTGCCTAAAAAAACAATGTGTATATCTTAATTCAAAAACATTTTATTGCTAAAAAAAATGCTAACCATCATCTGAGTCTTCAGTGAGTCATTATCATTTTGCAACAGTAACATCATAGATCACTGATCACAGATGGAGGGCGGTTCCCTCCTACAGAAGAGGGAGTGTACCTATGGCTGATTCATATTGGTGTTTGGTAGAAACCAACACAATTCTGTAAAGCAGTTATCTTTCGACTAAAAATTAATTAATTAAAAAAAACAATACAGTAATAATGAAAAAGTTGCAAATATTGCAAGAATTAGCAAATGTGACACAGGGACATGAAGTGAGCCAATGTTATTGGAAAAATGCTGCCAGTAGACCTGCTCAAAGAAACATTGCAAAGACCTTCAATTTGTAAGAAATGCAGTACTTGTGAAGTGCAGTCAAGCAAAGTGCAGTAAAATGAGGTCTGCCTGTTCAGGGTGCTGAAGAGGAATTACCAACTTCCTCTCTGAAACCAAATTCAGTATTGCATGTCCAGAATCAAAGTTTCTCTTTGTAGTTCACAACTGGTGTTGGGGGGTGGGGAGGAGAAACATTTCACAATTAACCGTGGGACCTTTCCAAACTCGAGGGGCACGCCAGAATTCAGGGAAGGAGTCTATGGGGAACACTGTGTATGGTTTGGAAAGGGGATTCTGTTGTCATCCTTCACGCTCTCCCCTTGGTTGAAAACCACTGACTTACTGGATAAAAGAGGTGAAGCTACTAATAACCTTCGAGCTACAGAATTTCCATGATTGAAGTGTTGTTTAATTTGTCTTGGACTAGAAAGGTAAACTTGAGTAACACTAGCCAAGAGGAGGATCAGGACTCTCCCAGCAGTCCAGTGGCTAAGACACTGCACTCCCATTGCAGGGGGCCCAGGTTTGATCCCTGGTCAGGGAACTAGATCCCACATGCCTCAACTGAAGATACTATATGCCACAGCTAAAACAAATAAATAAACAAATGTTGTTTTAAGAACAGAAAGAGGAGGATCTGACAGGAGAGACACAGTTTTGCTAGGTTTTAACTTACACACTGGTGATATTGTTGGCTATTTTTGGTGCCATTTACCCAATGGAATAAAATGTCTAATGGTTTGGAAAATGTGGTTGTTTTAAAGCTGGACTTTTTGGAAGACTGGAAAATATATCCTCACACTCTCTGGGACAGGGAACTAGCTTTGACTCACTGAGCCAGCCACAGAAGAAAATGTGACGAAGAATGAGAGTCTAGGATGGTACTGATGGTAGAGTCACAACACTTCAGCACCAGACCGGTGCGGACGATGGCATGGTGCGTCAGTCTGCTGGGACGCGGCGGGGTCAGGCGGCTGGAATCACGTGAGGGGACTCGGCTAGCCTCTCAGCCTTCACGTGTTAGTTACTCAGTTGTGTCCAGTTCTTCAACCCCCTGGACTGTAGCCCACCAGGCTCCTCGGTCCATGGAATGCTCCAGGCAGGAAATACTGAAGTGGGTTGCCATTGCCTTCTCCAGGGGATCTTTCTGACCCAGAGATCGAGCCTGGGTCTCCTGCATGCAGGCAGATTCTTTAGCATCTGAACCACAAAGGAAACCCTTAGTCATTAATACCGGTCACATGTAAGATATGGTGTGCATCTGCCCCAGTGGGCAGCAAGAATTTTGAGGAGGTTGCCTTGAGCACACCGTTGGTAGAACTGTGGACTCTCAGGAGGCTGTTGATGAGGGAAGTGAGGAAAATATCATCGGAGATTGGATAAAGAGATTTTGCTGTGTGGTGTAAGAAGTTTCATCAACACTATTGCCTTCAGTAACTGAGGGGTGGAAATTGTTCCTGATGAGCCAGGCGATGCAGCCAAGGCCACAGCCACGCAGCCTGGGGAAGCTTCCGCCTGCTCATAGTAACATGTGAGAGCAGATAGACAAGCTAAGGGCTGCTCAACAGCAAGAAGCCAGGATTTTTAGGTTTCGAAGATCCCCAGCCTCTCCAGAGAAATGGCAAATGATAATAAAATTGAGATTCTGGTTTTGAAGGGGGGAGATAAACTGAGAGATTGGGATGGACATACACACCCTACTCTATATAATATAGATAACCAATGAGGACCTACTGTATAGCACAGGGAACTCCACTCAATACTCGGGAATGGCCTGTAAGGGAAAGAATCTGAAAAAGAGTGGGTATATGTACATGTATAACAGACTCACTTTGCTGTACATCTGAAACTAACACAACATTGTAAATCAATTACACCCCCATAAAAATCTAAAAAAGAAAGAAATTGTTTCCGAGCAAACATCAAATCCATGGCACACCCAGGAGCGTGGTCTAAGGATGGAGCTGGGGCTGTGACTGTGAAATCATTTTTTTATGACCTTAGAAGGACCATGTGGTCCTCCTGGAGTACTGTTAGCAGAAGAAAGGCCCTATAAAGAGAATTTTCAGATCACAGAAGTTAACAAAA